ATATAATTCGGAAACTCAGTCGTCGGTGGTTCTGATCCCACCAGGAGTACCGCCCACTCTGGGCTGCGGTTCTCCGTTATCGTTTTGTCGAAAGGCGGAATGCAGTTACCGCATCCTCAATGCTCCAATTTCAAGGATATCGTCCACAACGTTATCATTGTATCAGGTTATCGTTTGTGTATGTATGTGCACCACCGCTGTAGTATTTAGTTGACAGGTGTCAGTGTGCGCACTCCGGCCAGGTTATATTTACGTATACGATGACGCTACACAGGTAACATTGTTATCAAGTAACGAAGAGACGTATCCGCTTCAACGGCTGTGCGTTATCGAATCTCTCACGTACGTTATGTTGCGGAACCGGCATTGGTTAACGGGTCGTGGAACACTATTTTGGCACCGTGGCGATTCTTTTATGGCCGCTCTTACTCACTCACCACATTTCCAATGTATTACACAATTATCGGCGCCATTGAGGCACCTGCATAATACGAGACCTTATGACATAAGGATTGTATGCCGTTAATATCGCACAAAGGAATCACACGTCGCTCCTATATATACGCGACCTTTCCGTACAAGATATTCTGCGGGGTTATATAAAGAAACGAGACAGGGATAATTATATCTCATTATATCTCTTTAGCGCCCATTAACTGGATAGAATGAACGAATGAACGCGTACGCTCGTGTGCGCGATTAAACGGAACCATGAGTTTTCATCTTGGTTAAATATGTAATTCGTGTTTTCGAGATTACTGTTCAACAGTGTCGCGATAAATGAACCTCTTATCTTCAAGAACAGAGGACGGTGCAGCCAATATCTTATCGTGCTATTTTGTGGGTACTCCATTTTACCGCGCAAGTCACCTTGTGACTAAAGTTAGGTGTTTATACATAAAATTCAAGTCTTTGTCTATACGTGCATAACATAACTAGGTATATAAACAATAATCTATGAACCGTTGTGGAGTAACGTCTTTTTATATTTCATAAGTCTTATTTTTTACATTTTGTTTCTGTTATAAGAGCTCCCGAGTAAATCTGGATGATAATAGTAATATTTGTATATTAACATAATCTGTATTGCTTGTACGTATTAACTTTGTCATTTTTAATATTATATATCTTCATAATTAACATCGAAATCAAATACGTGTGAACTATTTTATAATTTGAACTAATTTATCTTTTCTCTTTGTATGCTATGTAATTTATAATATTTTACATAGTTTACGTTGTATACATGAGAAAAGTCTGTTTAAACATCACGTAGGCAATGCGTAAATTATCCACGTAGACGTTATCTTAAAATTATTAATACCACCCTGCCTCATACTGTTTCGTGTTCGCTGTCTTTGCTCGTGACACCGCCTAAGTGACTCCTGAACTCTCTCTCTCTCTCTCTCTCTCTCTCTCGCTCGCTCGCTCGCTCGCTTGATCAAACCGATGACAGACAACGCGGGGATTCTCGTCACGTTTACAGCTGAAGTTCTGTCACACGGCAAGTTTGCTCGACGGCGTCGCTGTCGGTCGAGCAAACTTTTCGCAACTTTCCGCCGGCGACGAATTTTTCGTCCGCCACCGCCGTTCTAAAAACTCGTCCCATGTGGAAATAAAACGAGGCTGGCGACCGTTAACGAACAGGGTATCGTATATCAGTTGCGCCAATTACGCCCGAGCGCAATGGATCTTGTCGGCCGGTCCGTTCCTCAAAGAGACATTCCCTCGGCCGTGTTTGTAACTGTCACGTGTATTTCCTTCGTGGACGTTGTTCCGCGGAGAGCCGCGAGCTCGAATCACTCGTTTGTTTCGCAACCGACCGACCCGCCCCGCGTTTTCATCGCGTGGGACGTGCGCGTGGGTCTCTTTCTTCTCTCGCAAATCGAAGATCCATTTGTTCCCCGATGAAAGTTCGTTCTACCGGTATACCGAAGATCTCGATTTCACATAGAAATTGCGACGTCTCGAATACGACGTTCGCAATATGGTCTCTTTTCGTCCTACTCTCCGCTCTGCCTCCACCGCGACGAATTCCATAATTTCGCTGGCGCCCGACGAATTATCTCAGCGTGACGCCAGTACCCACACGACACTCCGCATTTGTTTAACGATTCCGAGGTGCCATGCGGGCATGTTGAGGTATAGCGACGAACAAGGCGGCTGCGGATGAGCCTGCTGCCGCTATATATATGCGGCGCACTTCGGTTCTCCAGAACGACCGCGATTACTCCGGCGCCAATTATCCAGCGCGTTCTCGCATCTCACCGACATGTCAGTGGCGATTATTAAGCGCTGCGGCGTAAACCCCCTGGGAAACTCTGTTTCCCGATACATTTAAACGTCGATCGTTTCCCTTTAACGGCCGACGGGGATGGACGGGGAGGAGAAGAAACCGCGCGAACCGAAGCGCCTCAATCCGGTTGATTAACTCGTCGCTCTCCTCAGTTGACGAAGGCCATCGAGTTGTTGCTCTACGTACAAGGTTCACGGCGCCGCGTCGCGTTTCTCCACGCGGTTTCGCGCCGATGATTTAAGTGCCCCTTCGCCCGTGATCGGATCGGACGCCGTTTTATCGCGGCGTTACAACGTGATTGTGAGGTGCAGTGCAGTTGCCGTGAAAAAGAAAAGAAAAAGAAAGATATTCCATTTGAAAGCCGCGCGACTGCGACTAGGTATTCCACTTGCGTTTCTATGGCTCTCGTATAAAGCAACGTCGCAGCGTCTCTCCCGCGACCTCATTCATGAATTTCCGCGAGTTCTCTCGCTGGTCGTTTAAAAGTCTTTCGACTGCTCCGTGCTTCTCCGCGCGAGACATTTAATTGAGAAAGTATTGCACTTTCGGTGTCTCGGCGATTCTTTCCTACCATTTCCATCCGGATGTACAACGCCTCTGTCTCTCGCGTCAATTTCGCGCGTTTCGCCGAGTGTTTCGATATAATTTAAATTGTAAGGACGAAATTAGCCTCGCGCGAGAGACTGGAGAAATCGACCAGCGATGATCTCTGGTGATCTCGAATGAAAATCTACCGGTGTGCGCGAGTGAAGTTGGCGTAAATATCGCGCGTGTTCCGAGCGGTGCTGAATTATGTTTTCCCGTGAAACTGCTTTTTGAAAAGTGCTTTAAGGTTACGAACGAATTGCGAGCTTGATATGTTGGCGAGCACGGTGAGGTACTCCGTGACGACGACGTGGCAGCTCGGCACTGCGAGATCGAAGAACGCCAGGCGACCTTTTCCACGAGTCGTTAGAGCTATAAGAAGAGGTGAATCGCTTTCTATTTTATCGGAAGTGTAAATGTCACTGTAACTTACCGCGGCCGATGTGGCGCACGGGGGCAGATGGCTAATACGCTTTTACGAGGCGTGGTTTAGACGACGCCCGAGTATATCACGCTGCACGTTCGCGTACGGTGTGTGTCGTACGAGCGCGATACAGCGAAGTTCTTGCGTTACCGTAAACGGCGTCTCGTCTGATTTTACTTGACATTTTTTCACGTTGGCGGAAAAACGAACCACCGCGATCACGTACTCGGTTAATACTCTACGGTTGCACGCTCGTTGGCGTAAAATGAGATAAATGTATAAAAACGGGGCGCAGGACTTTTCCAACAGGTCGGTTCTCTACTTTTTTTTTTTCCAACTTGATTTATCGCACGCTATTTTAGCCCGGGATTATGGGTCTGCGAGGAGAACACGGAGACGCTGTTCTTGCGTTATTCCGTGAAGATCTCGTGCTGTGCGAGAACATGAAAAATATTTGAGAATTATACGGACGATACTTACGTCGCGGATATTTTCTTATATGTACAATCTCTGATTACGATTTATCAAGTACTTGCAAAGTTCATAAGGTCGCAAATAGATAGATGTAGCGCCCGAAGTGCTGAGGAAGTGCGAAAATGAGTCGACGAATGGATTACCTTAAAAGATGAGTCATTTTATGGGCGCGGAATCAAACCATTGCCCGAAAGATGGCAATAGGCTGTTGATAGCAACGGCCGATACTTCGATCAAAATATTATATGCTATTTCATTGTTATTAATAAATGAAAATAACTCTAGCAATATTGGATGACGACAGACGAGAAGCGAATAAACGAATTTCACGAGTCTCAATTCTCAAACGTTACGATCGTCGTGATAAATTTAAATCGCGCCGGGAACACGTCGGCAACATCTGGCGTTGCATCGTCCGCGAAAAGTACGTTTCGCGTGTTACGTTTTAACATCGCGGACGTCTCGCATCTTATGACTCCTTCCGGTTGATAGAAGCAGACTCGCGCGTGACGGACGCGCTCCCATCGCCACGCGCGTCCGTCCGTCTTGCTTTCACATCGACCTGTGGTAAATGACGAAGTCAGAATTCTCAGCGAAAGAAGTCTCGTGAGAAATCTACCTGACGTATCTGGGTTGGAACGAACCGATGTGTGTGCGTTAATTCGGGCGCATGTTTTCCCGGTCTCCTAGTTAGCTTAAGGCCGGGCCTACAGCAGGTGTAGTAAGCATTAAGTTTTAAGAAATAGACACAATCACAATCGATTATTCTTCTCACATTCGACTGTGATTAGTAATTTTTTTACAGCTTAAAGCTTACATCTTTTGTAAACCCGGCTTAATAGTGATGTAAGTAATTTTTTTTTTTATTAAATTTCGAATCGGAATCGCCCCTCTTGTGCTTATTCGAGTTCGAACATCGATCTTTTGTTCCGAAGGGAACAGGGTAAAAATTGGCGTGATCAAATCGGACAATACACGAATTTTCCAATCGATCGGCGATTCTTTTGTTCCTTTTCACGCTTTTCTCAAAGCACGAACGTGCTTTATTTTCCGGCCAGGAAACAACGTAACCGTACATTTCGCTCCTGTCGCTACCGTTACGGCAGCTATGCCTTTTCCGCGGCAACATTGTTCCCACGTGTTAACCCGCAGAGGGAACAGCTCCCTCACGAGGGAACGTCGTATTCGTTCTCATTTCACTTTTTCGTTTTCTGCCAACAGCTTCCGCGAAGGCGCTTGCGGGCGCGAAGAGTCTCGGTGGATTCTTGTACAGCGCCGTGAACAAGGCCGGGAAGACCGTGGTGGAGGCCAGCGCAAAGATCAAGAAGACCGTCGAAGAGAACGTGAGTTTTTCCAGTGTCACTTTTATAATCCTGTAAGCGCTGATCGATCCGTCCTTAATGACTCGTCGTCGCCGCGACGGCGGGAGGCGACTTAAATTGGCTGTTGTCGGCTCTCTTAAGTTAAATCAGTGAAAATGTCACTAACTGAATCAGTGAAACAGTATTTTACCAATAATCAGTAAGTATTCAGTTTTAATGGAAACCCCTTCACTTATTAGCTTTTTTGTTTGATACTTCACTGATTTTGGTCATTCAAAGATTCACTGCAAATCGCTGTTACGCGTCCCGTAACAGAAATATCTCAAGCAAAATCATTAACACTACTTTAAGAGTGAAATTAAAGTAATCAAAAAGAAATAATAAACAATATCTTTTTTCGCTGTTTCTGCAATTAGATTTCTCCGATAGAAATAGTTGCCGTTAACAGACTTTTGCAGCGAAATTTTATTGATTTGCCATACTTATAACCATCATCATTAGTGACTATCGATTGCTTGTCAGTGATAATACACGTGATCGCACGTTAGAGGATGTGTGGGAAGATAGATAGATAACAATCGAGATTTATTTCAATGGCCATTTAATCGGGAACACGTAATTACAAACGCACTCGTCTGTACCCTCTGAAAAGATAATGGTCCGGTGTAACGACAATTGGCATTTTTCGACGATGCGACACGAGAAGTACAATGGGACGGTGGGACACGCGTTGAATCCGCAAATGTCCGCGATTCGCAACAATCGCGAATTTATCATGTCGCTCGTAAATCATCATTTTCGAGAAATCGACGCCGCGTTACACCCGACGTTGCACTTGACTGTTGCCGACTCGCTGTATACGCGATTACGAGTTCTATTTATCCGCGTCTCGTGTATTACCGGGTGCAACTAGGTCAATGACAGTTTTGACATTCTTCCGCCGTAGGCGATGTTTTCGCATTCACGAAATTGCGCGTCGCCCGTACCTTTTGTGTTTCACCGTTCGCAATACTGTGCGCATTACCGTCCGTGTAAGTTTGCGAATACGCGATAGGTTTGAAACAGTAAGGAATATATCAAGCGAAAGCGGATTTATTCGAAAGCATTTCGTGGGCGCGGGGAATCGTATTTGCAGGTGTTTTCTTCTCCGGGACTTCTTACGCGGAAAGGCGAAAAGCCCGTGCCGGCGCTGGTGCTCTTTGTTGGTGTCGATATCGGCTCGTAGGATTTATGCCTCCATAATGGTACGGACTGATATATGTACGGCGCTTATATATCCATTGCGTAACAGAATCGGTATCCCCCGCGAGAGAAGAGGGCGAGCGTGTAATCCGCGACGGCTTTTCCACTTGCGAATGCAGCGCATTGCCCGCTGTGCGCACGTGTTCTGTATGCAATTTGGAAATTAAACGGAACTCTTAACGCTCTCCGTAATCTCGGTTGGCTTCGCTCGCGAAGCTTTCATTTGTAAATGCGGAATTCGATATCCTGCGGTAATGTGCATCGATTGTCTTTCGAAAGCACGGAGGACTCGTAAAAATCTCGTGGAAGCGTGGAACTAATGCAATTGCATCTTTCTTTTATTTTCTTTCCCATCCATTTTCATTCCTTCTTATTTTTTCTCTTAGAGAAAGAGCGATACGCAACGTTTAGCACACGGAAAGAAATAATTTGTTAGCAGAGCAAATTTTTAAACTGTCGCAGCAAAATCTCACAGTTGGTATGTAAACAACAAAACGATTCGTTAAGAAAAATGACTTCTGCTCTAATTATCAACTCAGAGCAGTTTTCATCTACTCCCCCCCAAGCAACAAAAAAGTCAATTATACTAACGAAGTTGTTTTTTCCGTGTACATTCGCGAGGAGTCGTGTCGTCGTCCACGTTTACCGGAACGCTTCTCGTCTCCGGCCATAGAACTCGCATCGATCAGGGTGCTCACCGCTTGTCATTCGCATCGATATGTACATTTTCGTACGTGCCGAAAGCATGAAGGGCCGATATCGACAAGTGCGCTGCTATTCCGTTCGACGACGCGCGATCATTGAGAACACGCTGAATGTATTGCCGCACTTCGTCTCTTCCTCGGTTTACCGCGAGGTACCGCTCGCGTAATTAGAACGATGCACAAACACACGTGGACGCTCATACAGCGCATTATTCAGCCGCAAAATCACTTTCGCGTTTATATTCTGGCTGCTGAGTGGAAATTGGAGTTTTTGCTCATCCACCGCGGCCCGACTTTCGGGCAGGCGTATCGATGAACGGCCGATGTAAATTTGCGCAATAGCTCGAAACTTGTCGTTCGAGAATGTGGGTCATTGAGACGGGTCGCTGAAATTCATCCCGTAATTTCCGCGAGCGCGGTGACGTATTTTTACCCGACTTCCGCGCGTGCGAATCGTAAAGAGCCGGAGATTTTGAAAATAGCGGGAGATTGAAAAAACGAACGAGCGATGGACTCTTCGCGCTAAACCCTATGATTAGTTTAGTTTGTCTATTATTACCGCGCTATTAATTCTCACGCCTAATAATTATGATATAATTATGAATGACCTCTCGATAAAGAGAGATACGATGAACCAATGAACTATAATTAGCAGTCTATTACGAACTGATCGTAATTAAGTGTGAAATGATAATACAGTTGTCGTCTTCATCGCTAAGCACAGAGATTTCGCGCTTAATTCAACCTCTTATTAAAGTACATCGCGATAGTTTCGATATTGATATATTCAAAACGTTCGAGGAAGGCTAAAGATGTGAGGAACGCAGAGTATCGATATTTTGTATCGATATATTGGAAAATATCGTTATTTTTTTATACGCCTTTTAGATATTTCTTGTTAATCATGATAAAATTCTAAATATTATAAGAGAGAAGTCAGAGAGCGCGACCACGCTGGCATATTTCGATGAGCCTCCTGAGAAACTGCAGACAAATGTTCATTTCGCGCGGTAACGTATGTCGTTTGGCTCGTGACCGTATTATTTTAACAACCTTTAATTAATAAAAAGGTCATATTAATGTCTGAAGATAGTATTTGAGAACCGTCTTCAAATCAAAATATATTTATGAGTATTATCAAATAACTGAATATAACCAAATTATGTTTTGGTTTGTATCGAATCAATTGATTATTTAGATCTTGAGCTTATACAATATTGAAACTTAAAGTATCGATACGAACCGGATCATTCCTAACGGAGACGCGAAAGACGGCTGGTCGCTGTCGAGTGAACGTTATTATTCTCGTAAGAACATACAGCGGACAAATTGACGATAATAAGCGAATCGATCCTACGATACGATGACGGCGGAAACTGTTAAAGACGGTCGCATTTTTCTCAATTTGCTCACACACACACACACACACACACACACTCTCTCTCTCTCTCTCTCTCTCTCTCTCTCTCTCTCTCTCTCTCTCTCTCTCTCTCTCTCGACTAGACGGTCTCATGGTGGTGGCAGTGATTTACCGTTTTCGACGTGCGCGTGTCCCACTACACACACACGTGTACGCGACACATAATTTCTCAGGAGGCCGCAATGCATCGCGATGTATGCACCGAGCGTACATTTGTCGCAGCATTCGCATGTCCCGCGGTGATCCTCGATCATGAGTTGCGCACGTCCGCGTGTCAGAGAGACGTCGTGTTGTCTGATTACCTTGACGAACATCACCGCTGATCCAGTTAATGCGGCCAAAAGTGCAACGACAGAGCTCCCCGGAGCTGACGAAAATCGAGAGAAACAAGAATCCCGAGATCAAGTGAGCGTTCGGAGAAAATCGTAATTTTGACGCTCTTTGAAGAGTATAGAATCTCTACAGAAGAGAGAGAGAGAGAGAGGGGAGGAGAGGGATGTTATATAAATTTCTCCATTCGAATTTAATTTTAGAAGTTTGTATTTTCAACGCCTTCGAGCGTAACGCGCCGTAATGAAAGAATCGGCAGCCTTAGTTTAATCGTTTAACGTTTAACGTTGCCCCGAGTAGCCTCGACTGTGTATTATGTTAATGCCAACTCCATACAATTTTAGCACTTACGGTAGCTTAATTTCGCGAGCCAGTGGAAATTTACATCGCACGCTAGTAACAACAGGAGGGTAGCATAAATTCGAGCATGTAAATTCGCCCGTTACCACGCCACACATCGTCGAGCGTGTATCGCCGTTGTAACCGACGTTACGTAGCTGAATGCGTGACGAATATAATCGGTGATATCACGTGACAAGCGTCAGCGAACAAACGCGAAACCGGGATCTGTCGTCGTCGTACCAGTCGCACGTCTGCGAGAATGTAGAATTATGAGAGAGAAACGAGCGCGATTCTTGTTTTCGCGAACGCTGAAATGCGCGTATAATACGCTTTTTCACGTCGTACTTGCACGCTATTATCGATCATAATTGATGGGAGAATTCGTTTTGATAACATTGTTATCGTTCAATCATCTTGTTTATCGATGTCGATTGTGTTTTGTGCCGATATCGCGTGCGATTAACAATGAGCTTTATTCGAAGCAACGCTTCGCATTTATTTTCTATTTGCGTAAACTGTTTATCGTTAACCGATCTGAACAAAATTCGCTGAATCAAACGGATCGCGTCAATTTGCACCAACACTTTTGGAACAGATTTTTGCAGCTTTCTCGCGTTTACCTGGCAAAATTTTATTTAGTTTTTTACAATTAAATCACATTATATTTCATTTTATTGATATTTGATTGGATAAGTGAGACAGATTAAAACAATTGTGGGCACAGCCTTTAAAAACTTTGATCTCTGTAGGGCTTCCAAGTATTTTAAAAATATAACTACTCTTAGAACGTTGTATGTAATACTGGCTCACTTCACTTGGAATATGAATCCATAATATGAAAATCCCAAGAACTACTGTTATTTAATTAAGAGAGTTTCAGCACCGTTTTCTCCGCCTTGTTTCGCACAAATCGATATCCTATGTCGTTATCATGTTATGATTATCGATCGGAATTACTGGGATACAAACTGCTAGTATTAGAA